TTCACCAAGTGGCCTAAGGCATATGCAATACCAAATCAGGAAGCTACAACTGCTGCTTCGGCTATTAGTGAGTTTTTCTTCAGATTTGGTATGCCATACGAACTGCATTCAGATCAAGGCTGTAACTTTGAATCAGCTGTGTTCCATGAATGCTGCAAGTTGTTTGGTATACGAAAGACCAGGACAACGCCACTTCACCCACAGTCTGATAGGATGGTAGAAATGTACAATTGGACACTGGGACAGGAATTGGCAAAGTTTTGTAATAGCCGCCAAGATGACTGGGATGTCTTACTCCCTCCACTGTTGATGGCCTGTAAGACAGCAGAGCTTAAAGTCACTGGATACACTCCAGCAAAGCTGATGTTTGGTCGGGAACTTCGGTTGCCAGTCAGTTAATACTAGTGTTTGGTAAAATGTTATGTGAAGTATATCTATGTGTATTAATGGAAAGTGTATACTGAAGATATTCTTAGTATTTAGTCGAGTTAAAACCAATTTATGTTTGTTGTCAGAAACGAAGTTTTGTCCTTATTAACTGTTAGTTAGAGGAGTTGATCTTTAGTAAAAGTTATTGGATTTCAGCATTAGCCTGAGACTATTTCTTTAGTCTATCTGTAAACTTCCTTTAGTTAGCGACTTGTGGTTCCACTCGTCACGACAAATCCTCCAATAAATAAATTTGGTGTAACAAGTAGTTTTAATTGAAACTCCAACAATTAATCCCACCAGGGCGCTTCTCATTACAGCTGGTGAAGTTGGCAGGATTTTTGGAGTAGCTAACGACAGGTTGATTAGAGTAAAGAAAGACAGAAAAAGAAAGAAAGTCAGCCAAAGAACCATAAGTAGTGTAAGTTAGAAATAAGTAGTTATGGCTGATGTAAACACGACTACAGAAGAGGGTGGTGCATGCTTTAGAGTTGATAGAAGAGCTGACACTAACCACAAAGCTGCAGCAGAGCAACCTGCACGAAAGGGGCCATGCGGCACAACACACTTAAAAGTGCCACACCACTATATCACAGTAGTGCAAATGAGGATGTCGAAAGCTTTATCGATGCCTTGGATGAAGCAGTTAGAATATTGGGCTGGATTGATGCCCAGAAAGCTGATATATTATGTCTAAGAACAGCAGGAGAAGCTAAACGTTACATTAGGGCTTATGGTGAGCTGCGTGAAACAACAGACTATCAATATCTAGTGCATAAGCTAATGGAGGAGTATAGGACACGAGCAACTACTAATGCAATCTTAACAGAAATGTGCAACCTATATCAACAATGTGGCGAATCCGTCCGAGTTTTTGGACACAAGCTACAAGAGTTAGGTAATAGATTGTGCAAGGCTTATGCACATCCAAACGAGGATATGCTGCAAGATACTCTAAAATTTGAGTATGAACGAGGGCTATACAGTAATGTAGCTAGAGGATATGTAAATGAAGCAAATACTCCTCAAGCAACTCTACTAGATTTAATTGAAGTAGCTACTCGAGAAGAGCTATGAGAAAAGCAGATTTATAAGCCTAAGCATTCTGCTATAAATACAGTTAACAAGTCTAGCAAGTCTAATTTGTCTAATACACAGAGTAAGCCCGATGGCTTCCAGTGCTTTATCTATGGTAAAGTTGGGCACAAAGCAAGAAACTGCTTTCAAAAGAAGAAAAGAAACAAGCAGATAGTGTGTTATAACTGTGTCATTACAGGCCACATGGCACGAGATTGCCGACACCCATGGTAGGCTGAAAACGGAAAAGGCTGGAGCTTACAGAGGAAAGCTTCCCAATAATAATGGTAGCCCTACCTTCGCTACAGGTTCAAATAACGTAATCCGATTACAAAGCAAAAGTAGAGGTAGTTCCGGCAGTTTGGGATAAGCGGTCGAGTATTCATAGTGTTAATGAAGTATCACCAATAGTTAAAGTAGTGTTACAACAGCAGAAGTCGCGCGATTCTGGGAGCATGCGCTGGAGTTCTAGAAAGATTGAAGAACTTGTCAAACTTCCTAGCATTTGCTAGACATGCGCTCTTATAGTATATAAGACCGGTGAGAAGTGACAACATGGACATATAGATAGATAACTGCGGACAGACAGAGACGGACAATTGAGTCAAGTGCGGCAGTAAAGTGTATGAATCGTTGTGAATTATAGCGTGTGTTTAAATTAAAGTGACTGTGAAAATTAAGTGTATTGCAAAGTTGTATTGAGAGGGAATAAACTAGTTTTATTTAAGAAAGGACTTGTGTCTCTGAAGTTTCATCAGAAATAAATTATAAGGAAAATTAACCAACAAACGTACAGAGATGTAACAGTAGAAATAAAAGGTATAATATGTTAGTTATTAGTTGATACAGGTGCTCGATCGTCGCTACTAAGTTCAGAATTAGTAGACAGAAATTCGACATTATTAGATAATGCATGGAAAGAACTTTTTAGAAGTATTTTAACTTCTATAACAAGACATCCTGTTAAAATGTTAGGTAGATATAATATGCAAATGAAAGTAGGAAACTTGGAGTTAATACACTCATTTCACATCTGTAAGCAGATAGACTTAGACACAGATGGTATTATAGGGCAAGATTTCTTAAGAACTTACGACACTAAATTATCTTTTACCCAAAGTAAGCTACGCATAGAAACAGAGGTCTTAAGTTTTGAAGGACTTGAACCTTCGAACTTATATGCAACAGTTGAGACACATGATACCTTCCCGCTGACTAATAGTCAGACGCCTAACGCTAGCATTAGCGAGGCCAAGGATCAATTGTCAAAATATGAAAGCATTGACTTCTTAATAAAGTATAGCAACACACGACAAAGTCAGAGGAGTAAGAATAAGGTGTGTCCTAAAGAAAGTTCTAAAAGAAAGCCAAAGAATAGGACTGCACAGAAGAACACTAAAGCTGGCAGAAGTCATAAAAATAAGGTGAATGATAGTAAGATAAGGCAGAAGAAGTTAGTGAATAAGCCTTCAAAACAGGAAAATAATAATTCAAACCCTTCAGATGACTCTACACTTATGCCTAACATAAGCAACAGAGCATCCCAAAAGGAGTGTTTGAAAGAAAGAGTTCCTGTAAGGTTAGTTAAACTAACTGAAGTACCTGCGAGAAGTCAATTTATAGTTGAAGCTAAAGTAAATGACTTGAAGTATAATGAACAAGTGCTAGTTGAGCCTATCGAAATAGAAGAAACAGGAGTTTATATAGCTGCTAGTAGTAGTAAAGGGTCTGAAAGAGACACAGTGCCTGTAAAAGTGTTAAATGTGAATGAAGAAAAAGTAATACTACCTAAGAACATAGTAGTAGGTAAGGCTAGTAGTAGAGAACAGTTGGCTGTGATAGGACATCAAAACATTAAGAATGTTAATAAACAGGTACAACAGATAGGACAGACTGGGATTCTGTTTTAGGAAATATAGAACGAAAACTTAAACAAAGTTTGATAACATTGTTAGAAGAGTATAGAGATATATTTGTAGGAGAAAATGACTCTAATGGTTGTACAAGTAAGGTTAAACATAAGATAGTTTTAAATAATAATAAGCCTATAGCACAGAGACCTTATAGAGTGCCCGAAAAACATAGGGTTGAATTAAAAGAATGTGTAAAAGAAATGCTTGAACATGGTGTAATAGAGGACAGTAGTAGTCTGTACGTATCTCCGGTTGTATTAGTTCCTAAAAAGGATGGAACATTAAGGTTCTGTGTGGATTTTCGTAAAGTGAACGGAGTAACAGTTAAAGACGTTTACCCGTTACCTAATATCCAAGAAAACTTAGATAGGTTAGGTAAAAGTAAATACTTTTCATCTATGGATTTACAAAGTGGATATTGGCAGGTAGAGATAGAAGAGGAAGATAAAGCTAAAACTGCTTTTGTATTACCTTCAGGTAAATACCAGTTTAACAGAATGCCTTTTGGCTTATGCAATGCCCCGTCAACATTCTAGAGGTTAATGGATGTTGTATTATCAGGCTTGCTAGGTTTTTGTTACTTAGACGATGTTATAGTGTTCGCTGCAAGGTTTTAAGAACACTTAGAGAGGTTAAGGCATGTATTCGATAGATTAAGAAAAGTAAACTTAAAGCTTAAACCAAGTAAATGTCAGTTTTTGAAAAATGAGGTAGAATACTTTGGTCATATAGAGACCGCAGATGGTGTATAGCCAGATCCTAAAAACTAGAAGTCTGTAGAAACTATCCAGTACCGAAAAAAGTAAAAGATATTCGTGCATTTTTCGGATTTGAATGATTCTATAGAAGATTTATACCACATTTTGCTCTATTGGCAAAAACCTCTAACTGAGTTAACTAAGAAAGAAATAAAATTTCAGTGGACAGATAAAAGACAGGAAGCATTCGAAAAACTGAGAGAAGCTTTATTAAAAGCACCAATCCTAAGCTACTCAGATTTTAGTAAGGAATTTATCTTAAGCACAGATACTTCAGGTTTCGCTATATGTGCAGTTTTATCACAGTTAGATGAAAATGGCAAAGAACACCCTATATTTTATCAGAGTAGACAGTTAGGAAAAGCTGAAGTAAATTACTCAGTTACAGAACAAGAGTGCTTGGCTGCAGTACATGGAATTAAAATCTTTCTTTGCTATTTATGCAACAAAAGTTTACCATTATTACAGATCATGCACCATTAAAATGGTTAATGACGTTAAAAAACACTTCCTCTAGATTAGCTAGATGGTCTTTATTACTAAAGGAATATGACTTTGAAATAATACATAGACTAGGTAAAAAACATTCTAATGTAGATGCTTTAAGCAGAATTAGAGTAGAAAATAATGAAACTGTAGAAAAACAAACAATCAATCAGATAAAAGAAGTACAATCTGAACATGAAAATGGAATAGAAGTAATTTGGGACTGAAATCATGTAATTAGTGAGCAAAAGAAAGATCCAGAAATAAATTACTTATGCAATAAGGTAACACAAAGAGAAGAAACAGAATACATGTTAGATTCCGATATTTTATGTAGAAAAAT